CCCCTCCCCCTGCCCCTCCTCCTCCCTCTTCTTCTTACTCTTCTATTATTTTTTAAAGACTGGCCTATAGCTTGCTATGTAGCCCCAGCTGGTCTAAAAACTCTGCCCTTTTACCTCAGCCTCCTGAATGTTGTATTACCATCACCACATCTGTCTCAGTTTTATGTTTGTTGCCACCAAGAATCCCATCAGTTAGGAAGCTCATTCCTCTTTTGTGCTTCACTTTTCATTTTGTGATAGCCTGTTTTATAGAGTTTAGGCATTTATGGTTGTTGTTGATCTATGATTATATGAAATGGTTTAGAGCAGTGTTCTCACAGTTTATACATAGATCAGCTTGGTCATAACAAGCTTATGGGCTTGTTAGTAATGGGAGACTGTGGACCCCACCTACCTACTGAATCATGATCTCTGAAGATAGAGCCTTAGTAACTGTGTTAACAAGCTGTCCAGTGTTTGTTAAGAATGTTAATGTTGGAGGCCCACAGGTTAAGAGCAAGGAGTGCAAACAGTTTCTGTAAAGTGTCAATTTTGGTTTTACAGACTGCAGTCTCACAGCTATTCACTTATGCAGTTGTAGCAGAAAAGCTGCTGCAGATAATATATGAACAAATGAGTAGAGATGTTTCAGTAGAACGTGGCAGCATCTAAAAAAATGGTCAGTGGATCATATTTGATCCATTTGCTAAACTCTAGTTTAATATACTTAAAAGTGTTCAAAGTGCTGGGCACTGGTGGCTCATACCTATAATCCTAGCTACTCAGGAGGCTGAGATTTAATGATTGCCATTTGAAGTTAGCCTGGGCATGAAAGTCCCTGAGATTCTTCAGTCAAACACCAAGAAGCTGGAAGTAGATGTGTGGCTCAAGAAGTGGAGTGCCAGCCTTGAGTGCAAAATTGAATGAACAGTGTTCAGGTCCTGAGTTCAAACCTAGTACAGGCAAAGGAAAAAAAGGTGTTAATATATAATAAACATTATTGTGAATGAATAATATGTTACTTACCTTCCACATATTTTCTTTTCTTTTCTTGTGGTAATGGAAATAAACCCAGAGCCTTGCACAAGTGCTTTCCTCCTGCACTATGTTTCCAGACCTCACATGAATTTGTGTGTATGTGTGTGCACATGCACACACATGCGTGTGCATGCTGGACCTGGGGTTCAAACTTGGGGCCTGGGTGCT